AAGAACATCCACTTCTGATACACATTCCAGGAAATTTGACACCATCAGACAAAAAGAAATAAAGCTTTCCATCCTACAAAAACTCATTTATGGCTTCCACACAAAGTTTTTCAACATCTATCTCATTTAGCATTTTCCAGAAATTTCTCTGGGATCAAGGGGAAAGGTTAGAAAGGAAGAAGCAATGTCATAACCTCTACTTCTGCTTGTCATACATGTCTGAGACACTCTATGCCATTCTACAGTGTAGCTCCAAGAGAAAGTTCTCTCTGAGCTTGGCAGTGGTTAGAAACACTGTTCAAACACAGGATACTGTTAAAAAATATAGAAAGCAAAGCAGACATCCCACTGCCACTCTGAAATCCCCCATCTCAAAAAAGACGTGGTAGAGCCAGAAGAGGTTCTGACCAGGGCAACATGGATGGTCAAAGATCTGAAACTGCATTACGTTTCCCTCATGATAGGAAAACTGTTTCATCAATCATGAATATTACAAACAAGTTACTGAATCTTAGAAGAAAGTGACATGAAGTCATAGCGTCCCAAGGAAGCAAAATGCTGACTTTTAAAGCCCTTGGGGTGGATTTCTCCTCTCCACAGGGGAGAACTTGAAGAATCAGTAGCACTGGAAGATGTTAGAATTTTCACACGCTGGGTATCCCAGACTGAGCTCCCACAGAGAGTTTCTGACAGATAGGTTCGCAGCACATGAACATACCTGGAATAGGCTTCAGATAAGGAGGGCACCACGGATCTTGGGTTGGCTCCACGACACCCACATTAATAAGAAATATCTTATCTTTGGTTTGAGCTATAAAAGGTCATAAAGCTAAGACTTCTCAGGAACAACTGACAATTCAATGCCCAAAGTCTCATGTAATCTTCGTAATATGTCACACTCTAAATTAATACCCCATTGTCAGCTCACACAGAGAACGGGCTAGGGAACAAGGCCACATGCATTTGGGCATGCACTGCTTATCATCTTTCCACCTGGGATGGAATAAGGAGTTCAGTGATCAGGTCACTTTCTGACTTTTGCTATGTCTAACCTGTGTCTTCATGTGCCTAAAAAAATCCATCCCAAAAATAGCAGGAGAGAGGAAGGTCATGGTGCAACATTGCCCATACAGAGCTAATGGTACACGAGGGCTGTAGGATCGCAAGCAGACGTGGGCCGAGAGACTAACACATGCCAAAAAGCAGGGACCACCGTGGGGTCACCGAGGGATGAGGTACTCTCCACCCTTGCCTGTACACGTAAGCAAAACAAGTGTTGTACCGGTGCACTTCAGTCTGGCAAAGAAACGCTGGTGATCTCACACAGCTCTGCAGATCACCATTCTCCATCACAAAGGTATTCCACATTATATGGGGTAACTGTTTTGGGCCTCGTTATGACTGATAATGAATTAATTCCTTTGACTTGAAGTTGGTGGTTGCTTAGTGACCATGAATCATGACCTGAATATATCCAGCATAAGAAAAGGGAAGACAGCCCCAACTCAGTCTTACGTACATGTAATGCTTAAGGTTAATTTCTCAGTACTGAACTAATGTTATATTATTCCTCCAGATCTACTTTCAAGTAGGGAGAGAAAATATGAATGAATAGCAGGAGTTTTTAAAAAATCTGCAAACAAAGAAAAAGTTATAAAACTACAATTATGAAACAAAGCAACTATGGTTAAATGCCTATTTGAACAAGAGTGGCAAAATGAAGATGTCAACTGGTACTGCAGAATATATTTATTCTGTAATTATGGAAAATAGTTGAAATCAATATGAAGTTACAATACACTCAAAATCACTAAGGGGAGCTATAAACATTGAAGAAAAACAAGTGGTTTGCAGAATGAAGGAAACTTCGAAAAAAGCTTTTGGGTTGCTTTGTAGGTACAGAAGTATATTCTAAAAGAAGCAGGAAGAGGCATTTGTGTCATCATGATGACACAGCAGAGACAGCTCCTAATTAGCTGAAACAAATACTTTAAAAACTTGCAGGCTAAGAAAACTTCCCCAAAAGATAGATCTTGAAAATTACTGAGCAGCTGGCATGAGATCCAACTGATAAAAACCCAGTGTGCAATTAACACCACTGCAAATGTTTTAATGAAAAACAGGTAATGTGGTGCACATCTCATTTTATTGAGTGGAATTACGCATTTGACTGATAAACGTCAATGGGAATTTAAGACTTCAACGCCAATAGTACATGCCAGAAGGTTGGCAGTGGCACTGCAGAGGGGCCCTGAGGCTCAGACACAATCCCATTTGCATTGTTTCCCATTGACCAGCTCCTGGTGTTCCTGCTCAACACGTAGCCTTTTCCGACTGCCGGCGCCAGGGGCTGTGCTGGGAGCTAGACACCCGGCCCAGAACCACCTTGGAGTGACCTCTCCCTTTACAGCCCCTGCAAACCAACTCAAGGTTTCTGGAGTAGGTGGTCTAGGTTCTTCCTCAAGGCTTTAGCAGTAAACGCGCTTAACTGAGAACACCTCCCAGTCTGTCCGAGCGGTCGGAGGCAAGGCTCTGCAGCCATACCCCAGGAGGCCCTCCTGCTGCCTAGGATGGGGTTTAGGGCTACCCTCACCGCTCCACAGAAACCATTCCCATACGGGCACCAGCAGAGGCTGCGCTGACCAACAAGCGCTGGGATATGCCACAGAGGGTCTGTGGTGGCACTGACAAGTCCTCACAACCCAACCTCTCAGGTCCAACCACGAAAATGAAGGGGAAAAAAAAAAAAAAAAACAAACAGAAATGAGGGAGCAGCCCAATTCCACAGCCTCCGCAAACGTTTTCTAGTTGTAAGAACATGCTCTCCCTCCCCAGACTTGCAGTCTCCCACCCTGACCTTCTTCAACCCCAGTGCTGATGGCTGCGATGAAACAAGCAGTGCCCGGTCTCTGAACCGACTGAAGGGACAGAGACCTGTGCGCAGGGAACCACGGCGAAGCCTGCAGGGAAGTCCTGCAGCCCAACGGGCTGTAAACAGCTCTCACCGACCACCCGGCGACCACACTGGGCATCTTACCCCAAACTGTGTTGACCCCGGCTAGAACCACGGGCTGAATGCCTGTCAGCAGATGGAGCACATCAGGTGTTTTTCTGGAGCAGTTTCTGGGTTATTTTCACCTGAGAAAAATTCAGTTCACACCCTCTGGGCTTGCTCTACATTGTAAGACAAAGCACAGCAAGTGGGGTCAGCCAGCTCCACCTCAGAAGAGTGCTCCAAATCCAGACAGAAACACTGATGAATGCTCCAAGAGCCTGGAAAGGCAGCTACGTGCTGAGGGCTATCCTGTAGAATGGAGCAAAAGCTACTGCGAACCATCCTTCCTCCCACAGCCTTAATACTGCAAGTCCTGCTCGAATATTTCTGATGCCAGGGGCCACCAATTACTGTCTCACAGCCAGACAAGTGTAGCTTCGTATCGGGAACTCCAGAAGATTTCTCCAAAAGCTATCACTTACAATGCTGCCTCATGCTGCCCTTCCCTACCAGATTCTCGGTTTCACTATTTCTTCAACTGTCCTGATAGAACTATCAAAGGCAAACCAAGCACTGTCCCTTCCCCATCCCAAATAATGCCAGTCTTCTCTCCTTCAATCAGGCACTCGCACCTCTCACTTCTTAATAAAGTAGGAAAAACAATTTCTTCCTGCTTGGGAACTTCACTGCCAGTTCCCTTGACCCCAGGTGGATACCATCTGGACCTGCTGGTTTGCATGTGATTAGGTTACAACTGTTACCTGACCTATTTTACATAAACAGCCATACCTAAAACATGAACAATTCATTCTGCCTGACATATTTTCATGCCTTTTTTCATTACAGATTTCCAATAAAAATAATTGAGCCACTCAATCACAGATTCAGATTCAATCACAGAAGAATTCTGGCTGGAAGGGACCTTTAGGGAGGTCATCTAGTCCAAAACCCATCGCCCAGCAAAGACAGTCACTTTTCTCTTGAATTAACAGGGTGGCTTTCTTGCGAGCTCTGTTCATTGACACAGTTATAAGGAATTTTCAGGCTTTTCCCCATGTCCTTTCTGACTCTTTTATCTTCCCATAAAGCCTCAGCAGTTGTTTGTAACTATTGGTGATAGCTAGCTGAGAAAAAGAAGTGATAAAGGCTGTCTTGGGGCCCAGATCTCTATACTCACAGCCGCTTCCAAGAACCAAGCCCTATACTTGCTGGCTGTTTCAAATTCTGCAAGTCTTTTTTCAGTTGCTGACCTGATGACTCTGTACTTTCTGTGGATGCACACACATGCTGAAAATTAACTCTTCACACTAGTTCCTCCATTGCTCTAGAGAGCTCTGGACCAATAAACTTCTCAGAACAATTAAAGAAAACTCAACAAGTGTTGACCTTATATGTGACTTAAAACACAGTTTTGCATGTCTTAGAATATATCACAGGCTAATATCTACACCACAGAAGGACAAAAGAGATGCTGCAAGGATAAAGGCTGACCAGAAAATCCAAAAATATTCCTTCCTAAAGAAACAAGTATAACCAGAATCGCTGCTACTTCACTTCTTTAACTTACAGGAACTTCAGCGTGGGGCAGCTCCATAACCGTTACGACTGATAAGACAGAGGAGGTCTCCTCCTTGCACCAAGCCTGATTAAGGAGCCTTAGCAGGATGGATCTCTAGTATGAAATGGCCTCAACGATGCAAAGAGAGAGAAAAAGGTAAGGGATTTTATAGAGGAGCTCTTCAGAGCTACTCCAGACTAATAGTTTGACTAATTCTTTATCTTGGCAATCTCAGCAGTCATAAGTAAACACTGGACTGAATAAACAGGCTGGATACTGGTGGCCCCAGGAGGAAAGCAGATCTGTCCTGCCACTCCCAAGACCCAAAACTGGCTGCAAGCTGCAGCCAGCACCAGGGAACCACCACTAACCCATGCTAACACAGCCCTGGACACTACAGCAAGATTAAAAAGGGAGAAAAGGGGGAAGAAGAAAGATCAAACTCACCAACATCGGACTCTTTGTGGGTTTTGATGATTTCAGCCAATTCAAAATTTCCTGCAATGATGGCCACCTGAAAAGAGAGGGAGGGAAGACAGTTGAGCGGCTCTGAACAGCACCGGTCCTGTGCTCGCTCGCAAGGATTACGCCATATGGACTAATAACAGCTGCTTTCCATGGGGGAGGCAGAGCCAACAATTGTTCTGCCTCAGCTCATCCAGTCAGTAACCCCAAGGTGAAAATACACTCTCAGCACCGCGGGGAGAGCGTATGTCGATGGCTTGTGCAGCAAGAGGGTGGCGAATAGCTCAGAGATAACCATTCCCCTCTGCCCAGAGTCTGGTGGTGATATGCCTAAAACCAGCTCGGAATTCACCTTAGGTCTTCCAGGTACTGGCAAGATGTTCTCCGGCCTGAAGCTTTCCAGTGAATCCTAGTTAGCCGACGAAAGGTGACTTACCAGCGACCGAGCTCCCTGCACATCTCACCTGAGCAGTCCACAGGACTAACTCCTGCTCGTTCCAGGCTGCACTGGCCGAGGAACTGCCTCCACTCAGAAAGCTCCAGCAGCAGCTTGCCCCCGTAAAGCCACAGTATTTTAGATCAACAATAAACAGTGCTTTGTTCAACGCTCATCCTGTGGTTTTTCTCTACAGGAAGAATCTTGGAGAACTCAAAGGAACAAGGAAAGTGGGGAAGCAGAATGTGGGTCTGCCAGCAAAATGGACAAACAAAATTGGTCCGTCTTACTCCAGGAACTGTTCCTACAGATGCTCACATCCTGGGAAACTGCAAAACACCAGCAGTCCACATGAAGGTAGGTTAACACACATGAGAGGAGAGACTGAAGTACTACTTTCCTGAAGCAAGACTTCAACCAATAGACTAGTGATACTATTTAAACTCTTTGTTGATTTCTTACATATTTGGAGGAAAAAAAAAAAAAAAACAAAACAACCAACCACAAACAAAACAAAACAGCACTGCATCACAGCTAGTAACGCAGAACAATCCAATATTTTCAGAACAAGGTGCAAAAGTATTCTTTTAACATGTGAAAAAACACAGTGAGATGGGTAGGAATATACGCAAAATCCATCACTGGTCCTCAGGAAATTAAACTGGACAAACTGCTCTGGACTGAACTGGTTGTGTCCTGCATTTGATACCCCATGAACTGCGGCCACCTCCGCCCTTCCCACCCCTCCCAGCACACCCAGTCCCTCCCAGGCACTGCTGAGCCTCTCAGGAAGGTGATCTCACTCAGCAGCACCTACAGCTGATTCGGGAACACAAAGCAGCTGGATCAAGCTGATTCTGGGTGGAAACAGAGTGCTGCTGCTTAGAGCATGAAAATATGTGTAAGAACAGGCTGAGACACAGCTGCAGGTTTTGCCTGTCCATGCTGGGACCATCACACCCCCCTGCCTTTTTCTTTTTAGGTTAGGGTTGGTATTTGAGATGAACGTATTTGATCAGGCAGGCAGCAGAATTCAAACCCTCCCAGACACTGACAAAGTCAAGAGCAATACTGGCAGCTCCAGCTGTTAAACATTTCCCTGCCCTCCTACAAGAACAGCTTCTAGAAATACGAGGTTCATTTACATTTTACCACTAACTTGTGATGAAGGGATATATTTAACTTGGTGACTCAGTACAGCATGCACACCTCTCTACTATGATCCTTTATCAGCAGAAATAGTCTTACTATCCTCAGCTCAACAATGTTTATGTGAATTTTTTTCATTTTCTGAGGCCTAGAATTCACGCTCTACACCTTAGCCAGAGCTGGAAGCGATCACTGATGGTTGGAAGAAAGGAAACCTTGCTCCTGCATTTGGAAAATTAGGCCACAGTAGCAGAAACAAGTAAGAATCTATGCTTTTCCTCAAGCTTGATTCAAATTGTGATCTTTCTCTGTCTCTCCTCATATATACGTACACATTTATAAGGTCTGCTCTCCCAAGGGTCACATTCTTTGAGCAGGCAAAGAAAGCTTTTGTACAGAAGGGCAAATGACCTGAATTTGGGGAAATCTGAAAGCAAAACTAACCAAACTGACAAAAGACCAGAGAGAAGAATTTAGAAAAAGCATTTGAACTTCAGAGTTCCTCAAATGCACATCTAATGTATTGTCCACCACCTCTGTGAAAAATCCAAATTCAAAGTACAAATGATGAGTCTCACTAGAAGTAGGTCTCAGGAATAATTCCCCAAATGTATGGTGAAAGTATGTGGCACAGCTCCTGCAGCTGCACGTACCCCCAGTGTCCCTCCCGGTCTGGCCGAGGGGGGGGGGTCTTCCACCACTGTGCCCACCGCCCCGCGGGAGTCTTGGTGCTGGGACAGCTGACGCTGCAGGCGACAGAAGCTCCGTCTCTCCCTGACTTTGAAGTGTTACGACTTCCAGGAATGGCGAGAAGAAACACGCTGGATAAGAAGTCTGTTAAGAATATAATCTCGCATAAATCCCTAGGAAGGGAGATGAGCCCTGCTGGTTACATTTTTCAATCCAACCTGGAAAAAGCGAAGGAGGTGAAGGGGTTTCACGTCTTGCACTGTCACCTCAGCTGCTGCTTCCCGGCACCCCGGCTTCCCCAGCTACGGCATCACCGACGGCGTTCCCGTGCCCACCGCCTGCCCCGGTGCCACTTTGCTGCACGCAGTCACACAGATGAAACCGCTCGAGAGACTGCACGACAGACCGCATCAATGAACTCCTCTCTAAGGTAAAAGCAATCGCTTTTTGAGGACAGGTAAACAAGAAAATGAAGTCTTGAGGATGGAAACTCCCCAAAACATACATTATTTCTAAAAAATATTTCACAACTAGCAATTTTAGTGCCTGCACACTGAAGTGGGAGGAATTGGTGACTATCAGAAGAAATGTTCTGACTTCCCCACAGAAGATAAATGATCTAATTTCAAGCAATAAGCCAGATGTCCCGCATAGGGATACTATCTTAACATCCCAGCCAAGCTACTTATCCTGGTGATGTCGTGGAGACAGCACACTGGGCAAAGGGCATTTCTCATCATATCTTGCCCTGATGCTATGAATGTAGACTCTGTCCTTCCACACACCACAAACTGAGAAACAAAAATCCGCATTCAAGCTGCACAAGACATACAACTATACTACGGTGATGGCACAGGGTTATTTTCTGAAATGCTGTAACACCCTGAGTCATTCCATATCATGACATCAAAGTGACAATGCTTTTTAATCTAACAGCAATTTGCCTATTTTTATCTTTTTAGGCAAACTCAGTAATTTCTAAAAGAAAGAAGGAGGAGGGACATCTGAACAGGCTGCTCAGCATACAATGTCAGCGTGCTTATGCCTTAAAAGTTAACAGCAGAAAACAGAAAGATCATTTAAATATTCCTGGTAAGAGTCATAGCTCTGAGATCTAACTCAGGTTCTGTGGATACTGTGCAAACATCCCTAAAAATAAATAAAGAAGCAAGCCTACTACACTGCGTGAAACCATGAGAATATCCCCCAGCCCCTCCCACCCTCTCGGTGACACTGGCTGGCACAGAGCTCAGGTAACAACCGACGAGGATTCACCATGAACGCAGCAACAGCACGCCAAGGTACAGTAGTACAGAGGGGCCACCTGCAAACGGCGGCCGCACACCACGTCGCTGGAAGCAGTATCACGTCAGGCAGCCCTCAGAAAACGCGGCGGGTGACCGAGGAGAAGCCAAAGGAACTCAGCCTCCACACTGTCAAGGCCATCGGCACGGCTGGCTGGGGCTGCTGCCTCCAGCTCCGCCTAGCTCAGGTTTCCCACAGAGGTGTGCAAACACTTGTATTACACCACACGTAAATCAAAGATGCACAGAGACTGGTTAAACAACTTTAAACCATGGCACTTAACTGAGTTTTCATCCTGGACCTACCTTTACAGTAATATATTTAATTTTTGTTGTTCTGAGTTGTCGCTGTATATTCATTCATATTAAAGAATCTGCTATCTCCTTGCACTGAGTTGTGATGTGAGACGGAGGGCAAAGACGGATTTTGGATGGATGTGTTGAGCTATGGGAGAACACTGTGGTTTTCAGTTCCAGAAGGCACCTCAGCGGGGCAGGGTATCCCAGAGTGCTCAGACAAGGAAGAGGACAAGCTTGCATCACATGAAGAACTGATCGGCTGAGGGCAGGAGCACTAAGGCAGCTCCTCCGGGCCGACGGGAAAGGAGCCCTGCAGACCGAGGCCCGTGGCCCCTCTGCACCCACTATCGCCCTCCCGTCCCCCACAGGCCACAGACGTGGATCTGCACAGGCCCAGGGCAGGGAAACCACCTCCGGGCCAGCACGCCCGCCCGGCAGGACACGACGGGAGCTCGAGCTCCCAGGCCTGCAGCTCTTCTGAGGAAGGAAGAGCCACGGCACAAAGGGACGTGAAGTCTGTCTTGATGATCCTGCCGCCAAGGCCAGGACCTCAGTGGTTCTGTGGAGGGCTCAGGTGGGAATATCTCCAGGGACAAGAGTCCTGCCAACGTGGTATTTTACATGGGAAATGTGAAGAACAGCTATCCTGAAGATTAAACAAATGGAGTCGCTTTCCTGGTGCAATGACATTACAGCAGTGGTACAATCACCTTGAACTTCTCCCCACAAGTATGGACGCTACTAGGTCCAAGGTGAATTTCCACCATTATCTGCTCTTTGATCCCTAAAAATATCCACAGTAAAGCACCATTCCCCTGTGATGAGGAAGGGCCAGGTCCTATGGCATGCAAAGCTCACATTTCACAGGTTGCTACCACTGGACATATATATCACCTTGTAAAGGTCTCAGAGGAGACTGGGGAAGTGGAAGGCAGAGGAGTAGCAAAACATATCAACTAGCCACGAGTCAGTGACTCCTAGCCATATGCATCTGAGTTTAGGGAAGCATCTAGTTGACATAAAAACTGGTAAGAAATAGGAAGAGAGGGAGGCAAGGAGATCAAGTTCAGTGGCAGGAGTTCACATTTTTTTTATCTTCAAAAAGGAGTTACCTGAAGGTCAGAACACTGAGTATATGCCCATGAAGATGCTCAGGGGATGGAGCACCTC